TAGTGTGTGTAAGCGTGTGTGTGCGTTTTTTTTGTTATTACGTTTTCCCGCTCATCACCAGTATCATGTCCAGTATGCGGGGGAGGTAGCGTGAAAAAAAACGAAGAGAACATATCTCTTTCTCACTCCACTTCCTGCGTGACGCTTACTGACACCTTCCGTGTGTGGAAGGAGAGAGGGAGGGCGTGGTTGGCGGCCGGGGTGCGCATTGACATGACATCGACCGACGGTTTTACCACTTGGCCACAACCATCCGGGCCTCCGTTGCCGCCATGTATGCAACTGGGCTTCCCTCAGTGTATATGCATATGTCTGTGTGTGTTTGAGCGGGTGCGCTGAGGAGAAGCAGAGGGAAGTCAATCGAGGCGCGAGGAGAATGCGTAATAAAGGAGAGATTTTCTGTGATTGTGTTCACGGTAGACCCTGCTTTTCGTTTTGTTCACGCTGCATCGCCGCCACTTCATCCGTCGCAGCGGCAGCTACGGCGCAATCGAACTTTCACAAGGAGCGAGGAGGAAATAAACGTGGGTGCAGGCTCGACGCTCTTAACCTGGGACGAAGGATACGAGAACAAAATGCGGCGGGAGGAATGGCGGATGGTTGAAGGGAAAAACATTTAAATTCACAAATCTACGTAGCTATTTATATGCATGTATGTGCAGCTATAGACACGTGTGTGGGTGTCCGCTTCTGCGTCGCTTTATGAAGGGAAGTGCCTTCTTGTAGTGTTTGATTATGCTCGTTGGTTGTCGCTGCCTACTTGTTTTTCTCCCTCTATCCTAGATGTTTTCTTCGCAATGCTTTCTCTCTCACTGTGTCTACCCGTCATTCACAAAATGAAAAAAAAATGAAAAAAAATGGAAATAAAATAAAAACAAAAGGGACACACATTACATCCGCTTCTTCGCCGCCACATCCTGAGGAAGGAGGAGGAGCGTGAGTGTAATGGATCACTCCGACACCTCGCCTGTGCGTGACATAATGCCTCTAATTCCTCACAAAACAACAAATATGTTGTCGCTCGCTTCGTTGCCCCTTCACTCTCGCCTTATTTTGACTCCCTCTCGCCTTTATCCTGTGGTGGCTTCAGCTCCGTGAGGAAGACTATGTTTGGCCACAGCTGGGGAATAGGCGATGCACCTCTGCAACTGCCTCTAACTGCAACCTCTACAGTTGCATAAGCACAGCATGGCGGGCCAGTCACTGCTTGCATGACACTTGATTGCAGGCTGCTCTGTCAATGGCTCAAGGACCAACGAAACACAACCGGCATTCATGTTCGTTCGCTTATTATTCACCACTTCTGACGGCAAACGACGCAGTCTGAATTGCCGTGGGAAGAGGCATTTCCCCCATGCGACTCCTTCCTGTCGTTTTGCGTTGGGTGCACATTGTATTGGGGTTGATCCCTACGTGTGCAATTTTTTGTGTTTCTTCAATCTTTTTTGGTGTTGGCTCGTGTGCCTGTTGTTTGTCACTTTTCTCTTGCAAGTGGCGGATAACTTTGTCTGTGTACGCACAACACATCTGTCACCTCTCACAATATCTCGTCGTCTTTGCGCCACTGCCACACTTGCAAAGGGGAAACCAATCACGGAGCTCGAGGAAGAAGGACAGTGAAATGACACGTGCCGGCTTCAAGGGTAAGGTGCTCGGGAAGGAGCGCAAGCAGGCGCTGCTGGAGGCCCGCAAGAAGGCCGTTGCCTCGCGCAAGGCGCGTGACGACCGCCGCTGGAAGCGCGTGCTGGCGAAGATGGACTCGGAGAAGCGCAAGAAGTACCACGGCGTTGGCAATACCGCCGAGCACTCGCGCGTGCGTGGCTCCACTCGTGCCGCGCTGCGCAAGCAGACCGGCCGCAAGCCCGACAACGTCACCGTGGAGGCAACCATCCACCTGGCGAAGCTGCTCAAGAAGAAGACCTTCCACAAGCGCGCGCCCATCGCCATCAAGCGCATTAAGGCCTTCGTTGGCAAGCTGATGAAGACGAAGGACAACCGCATCGACGCCTCTCTGAACACGTACATCTGGCACAAGGGC